CCGATTAATAATAAATCCCATACGAATCTTGGAATATAACTATGACCCACTAATCTAACTGGGGTACACCCTATACAGAACTGGGATGAACTGGGGTTGTCAAAAAAAAACGAGCCCTTTCAAATAGTGTTTCCTCTTGTCAAATTCCCAAGCGTTGGCTTCACACCTATTTTCTTTGTGGGATGTTAGCTTACAACCACCAGAGTATAGATTTACAAATGTCTTCTCTTGATTAAAAAAAAAATCATATCTGCGTTGGAATGATGCCATGGCATGCGCAAGGCATACAGTGTTACAGTGTCTTTGCTGGGACCGATATGGAGATTTCCAGAGGCTGGAGGGATCATGGAAGACTCAACGAAAATGGCCACGGATGGTGATGGTTATTATACTCTCCCCAAATGGCTTACCCTCTGGTAAACTAACAAAAAACGATGGAAAATCACCATGTTTAATAGGTAAACCATCTATTTCTATGGGCCATTTTCAATAGCTATGTTAGTTTACCTGAGGGTATTTCATATGCTTTATTCACCCATTACATCCACTTACATCCACTTACTAACTGGGAAGCACATCCAAGCTATTGGCCTTGGGGTTTGTGGGGATTTCATCAGAAACGATGATAAACAATGGGTGAATCGGTCAATGTTGAACTGGTGGTTTGGGTGATTTGGACAGTGTATGAACTTTTTGGCAGCCCAAAAAAACAATCCCAAAGTTGGACACCAGGAAATGATGTTTCAGAAACATCATCAAATGTTCAGATCCTCGAAAGACAACTTTCGGCATCTTTTTGGGGACGTTTTTTTTATGTTGGCAAAAAGCAATGTCATAAACCACTCATATCCATTGATGCTTCACCCATTGATGGTCAAATTCGGGACAGTTTACTATTGCCTTCCTAGCATATATATACTTAGCATCAATCACATCCCCCCAATCTTCAACACCCCCTAAATGGTACCAAATAAGTATCAATCCCCTGCTAAACCATGGTGGCCTTGTCGCTACTCAACGTCGGCCGTCGGCGCACGATCACCTGGTGATGCCCGCCGCGAATCCGGGGTCAAGTTGATCGTAACCCCCCTAAAAAGTTGCAGAAAATGTGGTGCATCGCATAAAATAGATCTATTAACAATAAATATAATTGATCTATTAGATATACCAATGTTATAAACTTGATCTATAGTACCAATTTATCATTGATCATAGTGGTATGCCAGATAAATAATGATAGGACTTATACATACTTATACCACTTATTACTCAAAAGAATGGTATAGCCAAGCAGCTCCGGAGAGCTCCGCAATGAAGCCTGGCCGATGCCGGGTTGGCTGAGTTTAAAATAGGATTCAAAGCCATGGGAAAGGGGGGGCTAAACCATGGTTAAACCAAGATTAAAGCCATTCAAGTGAATGATTTGCAGCTTGAAATGATTGAATGGTGAGCGTTGAAACGGTGGCTGTCGACCCGTTGAAATAAGGATCTCTTTAGATATTTGACACATAGAAAATCATGGGAATAAGTAATAAGGGTGCTGACCGTCGAGAGTATTCAAAAGTGAGATTTGAAGCATTGAAAAAAAGGGATTTGAACCTGCTGCGGTCAATCCGAAAAGCATGATGATATACCATCTTGTTATTTAACATAGCCATGGAAAATCCCTTATAAATGGAGGTTTTAATGGGAAAATCATCTATAAATGGGCCATTTTCCATGGCTATGTTAAATAATCAGAGGGTATCACATGATAGGGACTCCTGAATAGAGAGACTATAACATGATCATTAGATTCGCCATCGTGATGGTTCCATCAACAAAAATCAAACCAACAACTTGATCCAGGGCTCTTGAGAGTAAGGTACTTGGACAGCAGGGTAGCAATCCATGAAGAATCCAGTTACGGGGTAAAATGAGAATATAAAATGATAGGGCATGCAAATGTATACGGCGATCCGTCATAATTATATGCATTATATATTATATAGAATACATAAAATATATGATGTACAATCCATATAATATATATATATAATGTGCAATGTAAAATTATATATATAATATGTATAATATATAATATTATATATATATATTTATTTGTTAATATAAAATATATGATATATATATAATATGTATAATATACAATATATATAATATATATAATATATTTTTAATATAAAATATATGATATATATATATAATATGTATAATATATATATATAATATGTATAATATATATATGTAATATGTATAATATATAGTATATAATATAATATATAACAAATAATGTATAGTGTATAATAATATATATGTAATTACATATATTACTGATGTTGACATTACTTATACAGTAACTTGTAATACTAGCCAAAAACATCACCAGTCAGCTATTAATCCCCCATGGAAAGTAAGGGCACAAATAAACGAAAAGCTCTTGATCTGTGCTCCTGGACAAAACTCTTGGTGCACAACCAAAACTGTGTGGATGTCTTATACCATATATCTGGTATATGGTTAGTCCCAATTAATATGGGCTTTTTTGTATAAGACCAAAAAACACCAAGGATTCCCAGGCGAAGGGGATCAACCATGCCAGGCCCTCGCTCCCCACCCACCATGGCGAAAGCGGGAAATGGCAAAAGCTTTGAACGTTTCTGGAGAAAAATCTGGAAAATGGCGGGTTTATGGTGGAAAATGCTGGGAATTCCTGAAATTTATACAGAAGATCTGAAAAAGTCCTGAACTCGGAAAGAGGTCCAGTTGGCTATGTCACTCAAGAGCTTTTTGTTGCTAGGCATGATGATGCCAACAAATTGTCAGGTCACCGATGTCACAAGCCGGGCTGATGTCTGACAAAATCGCCCAAAAAACTCTGCGAGTTGGACATGTTGAAAAAGTGGGATATGGAAGGGGTCTTATTAGCTAGCTGCTATAGCTTCTGAGTTGCGATGGATGACATGAATTTCACCAATTGGATTGAGATCTTTCCATACTTGACCATGACTTGGTGGCTTTGGTGTCCACACCTTAGCGTTGGAAAAAATGAAAATTCTTCCTGTACGTGGCTGAAGTCAGGAGGCGAGTTGAGATGCGTGGAAGTTCCGGCCTGCAACGATTTTTTTTTCCAGCCATTGAGTTCGATGTGTTTTTTCCCATTGATCCCATTGCAACCTCCATTGATAGGAGAATTTACATAGATGTTCATGATTTGCTGTATTTTTCCCACATTTTCCCACATTTTCCCATCATGTTACATATGTTACATAGATTTTCCTCATGTTCCCATCATTTTCCCATCAAAAACCCTCAGCTTCCCATCATGGCCATGGCGTGCTGCAGCTCCATTGAGTTTTTCCAGGGATCACCAAGTTGAGATGTCAAAAAAACCATGGTGAAACCACCCACTTCTGTGATCGCAAGTGTGTATAGCTATGTAAATACATAATATTATGTATAAGTATATACTTGTATATATACTTGCATATATATATATATATATAATTATATATATATGGCGTTCCTGCAGGTGTTCAATCATGTTTTTCCATATGTTTCCCATCATCTAATGCTGGGCATGGCTCTCTGTACCTTTCCACTCCTTCTGAGGTGACTTTCCATTGCCACGTCTTACCAGGGGAGTGTGTCAAGACCTTGTACCCCTTTTGTTCACATCAAAATAGCTGGGATTTATGGATGTGAATAACCCCCTAAAAATGGTATTTTCATAGGTATTGATCCATAGCCACATACAGACCTGTAATACCACAAGATGACTCGACAGGAAGGTGAATTGCCAATGACTATGGGGGAAAGTCAAGATCGCCGATCGCGAATCGGGGAGTGGTCAACGACCCTGCTTCATACTCTGCTTGGTGGCCATATTCGTGTGGCAAACGGAGGATTCTGGAGATCCATTGAAAACCAAATCTGCCATTGAGTAACTGAGTAACACAAACATGAAATCATTGGAAAACAGTGGAAAACTCTCTGGTAATTTAACATAGCTATTGAAAATGGCCATAGAATTAGTGGATTTTCCCATGAAAAATGGGGATTTTCCATGGCTATTTTGACATAGCCAGAGGGTACTCTCTGAGGGAATTGGGAAACCACCCTGTTTGTCATTGATCCAGACCTCTGGAGACACTGTCGCGCTGTTCGTTGTGGATCATCCTGCTTTGTTGACATGGCTTGATGGTCTCCATGTCGAAACTCCGTGTGTTTGACGAAGTCCCCAGTGGAAACATATATATATATATAATATATATATATATATATGTATAATATATATATATATATGTATACTCTCGGCAGGTTTCTATCACCCTTGTTTTGACAGCCATTTTTCATGTGGCACGGCCCCAGTTCGGACCCCTCAACATTGGAGGGGCAATTCTTTGGGGCCAACGGATCCCTGGCGATTTTTGCCAGAGGCTAACGGGAATTCACTGCAGGCAACTCTGAGATCTACGGTGAAAGTGAGCAACGTCTTCGATGAACATCTTTGGGGTACTTCTATTCACATCTTTGGATATCTTTTGGAGTACTTGCTGCTATGTGGGTCCTAAAGTCCTAAATCACCTGGGACTGTTTTTCGCGCCACCATCTTAGCACAAAAAATCCGTGTCATGAAGAGATCAGGTCGGGTTTATACAGTGATGACTTCTCCATGCCGTCACCATCCAAAGCTCAAAACAAAACACTAGGAATTGGAAGAGAAGCTACAAATCCATTTACAAATCCATTTACAAATCCATTTACAAATCCATTCAAAGCACTTTTCGAAACAACTTCCTGAAGGTAATGAACAACCGATACATTCAATGGATTGCTGGGAAACTCGACAGTGATGTTCTCCCAGTGCACGGCACAGATCGAAATGGTGTTGGATAGTAAATCGCTAGGTTTTAAATCTGTTCCTGTTCATGTTCCCTCAAGATATCTTTTAAGATACATGAAGCCTTTATTTCTTACCTGAAGATACCTTAGTTCTCTTAGGAAGATACATGGGATATCCCCTGTTCCATCCAGAAATTGCTGCGACTTCGCTTCAGGTCAGGAACCCAAAGATCCCTTTGCTCGGCGCGGTGTCCTGTGGCAAAGGTGAGCTGGTGCAGATCCTGCAAAACCTCTGGATGATATATGATGATATATCATTTTACATGGATCACATTTAAATATATATATATATGGACTATACTATATATATGGAACATATATGGAAATATATGATATATGGTGCATATGGTATATATATATATACATAGAAAATAAAATATGTGGAAAACTATATGTAGATCATCCAGAAGTTTGAGCTCTTGGTGGATCATCATTTCCAGTGACGTAGCAGTAACGTCGGTATAATCAATCCCGGATGAATAAACCGTGGCTTATTAATTAGGGGGTACTCCTCCAATAGTCATAATTAATATGATACTTAAATGGTATCCTCCCAATTAAACAATCAAGGGGTTTATTAATCCAGGGTTGACATTATAATATATATATACACACATACATCCAATATAACATTATATATATATAATGTATATATATATGTATATATATATGTATATCACATACCTATATTATTTCATGACCAACAAAAATATGGACCATGAATATCTTTTTGGTCAGGTTTTCCCATGGAACTCCAAGAATCTAGGAGCAGAATCATCTTGCGAGATCATAAACATCGTCGTACTTTCCTGTACCCTCTTGTAAACTAAAATAGCTATGGAAATCACCATCTTTAATAGGTAAATCAACTATAAATGAGCCATGTTCAATAGCAAACTGTTAAATTACCAGAGGGTAATTCTAACATGCAACTGGTGAAATTGATCCCGAAAAATGTTCGAGGACTTACAAAAACAGTCTTGAAATGCCTGAAAATGGACAGCTATTTCTGGTCCCAAGAACTCGGTTTCGACCCCACTAACCAGCGCCGCGGACACCTGGGTAAACATCATTGCCAGATCAGATTTAGTACCGAAGGATACCGAAGGTTTCACGGTGAAAGCTCCCTAGAAACTTGGAAGCCCACCCCCCAACATCCGGAAAAACAAAATGGCCATCAAAATGGCAATTTTCCATTGGCGTAGACCCTCCGTTTCTGGACCCCAAGTTGTTCATCTGGGGCCCCCCAACCGTCTCGCCACCGAAAACACCCAGGGACGGCAGTTGCGGCCTGCTGCTGAAGCCCTACCAAACTCTGAAGTTCCCTTACCCCATGCATTACCTACCCTCGGGTGATTTAACATAGCTATTGAAAATCGCAGATTTATAGTTGATTTATATACCTATTTAAAAAAAATGTGATTTACCACAGTTATGTTAGTTTACCCTCCCTACCAGAGGGTAAGTTGATTTGTTGCTGCCACCCCACACCTCATGTTTTCGGCGAATGTTTTTTGTTGGCTACACTCCAGTAATGTTCAATACAGCTATGGAAAATAGCCCATTTAGTTCGATGATTTACCTGTCAAAAAAAAAAAACTTGAATTACCAGAGGGTATAACCACTAACCTACTAACATCCATGAATATTCAATGTGTATCATCCCTATCCACCATCCCATCTGAATGGAACAAACCCATTCTATTGGATCATTATCCATCCCATATCATCCATATCCATCTCCACATCATCCATCACTATTTATCCATAATCCATTATTTCTATGGCTCTTCAAATTTTTATGGTCCCCAAAAAATGGTCCCATTCGTATCCACCGAATCATCTCTGGTTAAAATAGCCCATTTCTGGGCACCCCTGACGATGGCAAGAGGCTTGGCGCAGCATCTTCGTCCTGATTTGGTCGGAACAAGGCAGGGGTCAAATTTGGAAAATCAGGGACCCCCTGGTGATGGTTCATCTAGGTGAATCTTGGCTACAATCTTGGCCAATATGAATCTTGGTTAATATCAAACTTGGTTAATATTGGTTGATAAATGGCATCATATAACTTATAACGTCATAAAACAGGGACTTCATAACAAGAATGGGGGTTATTACTCATTGCAGGGATTAGCAATACCCCTGATGTGATTTTGAAATGGCGTCGTGGGGGGGCGCCAAAATCATCCCACTTATTGGCAATAATGGAAGGTGAAAAGGGATAATTACTCCAATTTCGAGAAACACCGAAATTTGCAAATGGCAAATATTGATCCTCTAAATTTAAATACCCTCTGGTAAACTAACATAAGTATGGGTTTTTTTTCAGAAACACCGAAATATTGAATTAGCCCATCACACTGATTGGTCATTTTATTGGAAAAAATGTTGGATGGTTCGATCCTATGACCAAATGTGCCATAATCATCAGGTCGTCCATAGTCGATTTGTGCCCATTCTTTGAGCCAAAATCGTCGCCAATTTTTGAGCATCCAAGAAACTTGGGTGTGTCTTGTAGGGTGCGCAAGTACCATGGTATGGCTCAAAATGACCAAAGGATTGGGAAATTCGTTGATCAACTGATAAAGGATGTTGGGG